TATAGAGAGAGAGAGAGAGAGAGAGAGAGAAACACATTATCCAGATTTTCATAAAATTAATAAAGAATATAATTTTTTTGTTGCAGTCGACGCCGCAGGTGAGAATCGTCACTCAAGAGAATCGATCGATCTTAATGGTGAAACAAGTCACACCGGAACTTGCCGGTAGCTATACCTGTCGTGCTGAGAATGTTGGTGGCTCAGTCACTTGTACAGCCAGCGTTAACATGACAGAAACAATATGGGAAGAAGCAATTGAATTAATTTCGCCGACATTTGTTAAGAGACTCTCACCTGTAAGAGTTATGGATGGCGAAAGTGTTAATTTAACTTGCGTCGTTGAAGGGAGACCGATACCCAGAGTAGAATGGTATCATAATGACAAACCAATTAAAGAAGGCAAAGAAATTACGATTGTCCAGGATATGGAGGGTGTCTGCAGCCTAGCCATTACCGAAGTATTCCCAGAGGATGCTGGAGAATATACGTGTCGTGCTATAAATCCTGTTGGCGAGGCTGTCTGCATATCATCGCTTATCGTTGAAGGTATATTATTCATCGCAAATAACTATAATTTACAAGCGGTCGTCTGTCTTACTGTCTGTTACGATCGGATTTAATTGCAGCTTATGAGTACGTTCCTGACTCGGAAATTGCATCTTCGATAATGGCAACATCCCTTACTACAGGATCAGAAGAAGATCTTTTATCCCCGAAAGTAAGTAAAGCCTCCGACGATATAGGATTGTATTTGATGTATCTATTTGTTAGACATTAAAATTCTCTCATTCTGTCTCCAGGAAACTCCAATCTTTGACAGTGACATAGAAGAATCCGCACCGGAGATAATTAAGCAGCTTCCTCAGTTAGTTCCTACCAAAGACGGGGAATTAACTAGGTATGTTTAAGACATGTTTGACAAAAATAATTGATATAAAATGATGATTAATATGTATATGTATGTACATACATGTATGTACTTACGCATAATTTTCATTTCTTCTTGTATAGACTGGAAGTGAAAGTGAAAGGTAAACCAAAACCGGAAGGCAAATGGTATAAGCAAGGCGTGGAAATTGTCTCATCACAAGAATTCCAAATTGAAGAATTTGAAGATGGTACGTCGGTGCTAACGATCGCTGAAACTTTCCCCGATGATACCGGTGAAATTGTATTCGAAGCTCACAATCCGCTTGGTGTGTCGACCACGACGACATATTTATCAGTAGAAGGTAACATTCTCTTCTCTATAAATTCCAAAAACTTCACTAATCTGCTTAAGCCAAGTTCTTTTCAGTTGCGCTCTTCGAGTGGAGAAGCGTCATCGAAGTCCTGTAGCATCCTGGTAAAAATCCGATAATTATCCCACAATTTATCCTACATTATCCACACCAAAAACACTCGCAACATCCTCGACTTACACTGTCTTCTATTTTATCTATTGCATATTCTATGCAAGTTTCCGAATGTCTTTGGTCTCGCTCAAATTCTATTTAATGCTGACCAGAGGGATTCGCTATGCATTCGCTATATGGTTTTTATCTGTCATTCTATCGACTAGGTATACTGGGCACAAAGGAGTATCGGAAACCAGAATGGGTCACACAGATGGAAAAAATGCAAGAGGCTTTAAAAGGTAAGAATTGCGTTCATCATACGAACGTGATCGATTGCATGCCGAGTGATACAGAGTGCAGTTTTTCGAGCGACAGTCTGGATGACCGTGCATTAAGAGACGAAAGTTCTCAAAGAGATAGCTCAACTGTGATCAGCGAATTTTCGTCAACAAAAACATTAATGAATATTGGCGACGATATCAGATTGCCTTTTGATGAGGATAAAGTTGCTTCAAAAGAATTTTTATTGAGAAGATATTCGGATTCTCTCGGGACTAAAGAAAATATTGTTTCGACACAGTATTCTTGGGAAATTGATGTTTCTTACAAGGAGCAAACTCCAATGGCATCACATTTATTACGGGAGAAAGACAAAGACATTTCTTCGATTTTAGATATGCAAAATGCGGTAGCTTCGAAAGTAAAGCATCAAGAAAATAAGCAAAGTATATCGAAAATATCAAGCGCATCAACTCAGCCATTTCCAATCGAAACAAAATATACAAAATATATTGCTCAGAAGAAAATTATTAACGAACTGCTCGCAACTCTCGAATCTTTTAGCTGTGAAGATACATTTAAGAAAGAGAATGAAGTTATATCGACAGAATCCAAGAAAAAGAAAATTGTTCTCGACTTTAGTGAATTTCCGCCTTCAAAATACGAGAGAAAAATCCAAAAACATTTAGATGCTGGAGTGATCACTTCTCCAGACAATTTAAAATCACCATCATCGATCAAAAAAAAAAGCGGAACACTGAGCATCAGAAATCAAGAAAATTTGAACACTGAGATAAATAAGACTATTTTTGAAGAATTCGTCATTAACCCGACTTATGACTACAAAAAAAAATATCATACATATCCTAAGTCTAGGATTCCAATCTTAAAATGCGCTAGAAAGCGACGACTCGAAAATTATACTATGGACCCGCAGATGTTTCCATTGGAACCGAGAGAAATCGATCTAGAATTTTTCCAGCAATTACATACAGCGGATAGTCAAGAAGAATTGCAGGAATTCTTGCTGCTGGAAAGTCAATGCAGCGGAAATCTTGGATTGGTGAGCAACGCATTTACATCCGAAGAATTTTATAACGAATATTGCACCGACGACGAAAGAGGCACAATGTCAGGTAGAACTTTACTTAAAACTAATGATAGAAATGTGCGTTTAAAAAATAACCGTGCATGACTTTTTGTGTGTTTTTGTCTAATTAGACTATTGACATCAGGCTTGTACGAGTAATCTTGATACCAAATATAAAATTAAGGTAAGACATTTATTTGAGACAATATTGAGCCCATTTTTCTTTTAAAAGTTTTTAATTTAACATTAGCCTTTCATAATGTCTTAGCCACGCAAGCTGTTCCACGATTTATACAAGAAATAACGGATGTCTACACAAAAGAAGGAAATGTTGCTTTATTTGAATGTGTCTATTCTGGTAATCCCAAACCAGGTAATTGTTATATAAGTACGCAAATGTTGCAAAGAAACGTTTGTTTCCGATGTTGGTCATGAAACTTTTAATTGATTACTTCCTTAATTTCCAGATGTTGTTTGGTATAAGAACGATAAACTTATAATGAATACGGAAAATGTAAAAATACGTATATTCGATGAAGAAAATAAGACGACTCTAACGATTAAACGAGCTACCAAAGACGACGATGCTACATATGTTTGTAAAGCTACCAGTGAAATTGGTATGATAACAACTAAAGCCAAACTGCATGTCGATACTATAAGTGATTCGGGATCAATGCCGGACGATCTAATCAAAGAGGAAGAAAAATTGGATACAAAACCGAAAAAACAAGAAGAGAAACCGCACAAAAAGAAAAAGACCGAGCTAAAGAAAGCAAAGGAAATTAAAGAAAAAGTAAAGGCTGAACGTGTCAAGATTGAGAAGGAAGAAATCCATGAAGAGAAACTTATATCCAAAGAACAAACGGAAGAGAAGTCAGTATTCTATATTTCGCGTTATTCAATACATTTCGTATATTTGTGATTTTTTGATTTATTTTATTTACAAATTATAATATTTGTTTTCTGTACTTTCAGGAGAATTGTCGATGTCGAAGAAACTCAAATATTGGAAACCACAGAAATTATAAAAGAGAAACCCGAGGAGGTATTATAACACGCAACTTTTATAATTTCTTCTAATTGGAACTATATTTCTTGTAGAATTTCATACAACTATTATTTTATTTCCTATTTTAGATTTCTAGAGCACGAAGAATAGTACCGATCCAAGAACCGATTGTGACTGAAGCAACAGCTTCTTTGAAAAAAATTGATGATCAAAAACCGCGAGAGGATATACCTAAAATCGAGGGACGTGCCAAAAGAATTGTTGAAGAACGAGAAAGTGTCGTTATATCAGAAATCACGAGCGAGGATACTGCTCCCGATTTCACCGTCGAAACAAAGCTTGATCGTGCTCAAATTACTTCGGAAACTTTGCAGAAAGTGTCGATCTCCGAAACACACGTAGAAACAAGTGTTCAAGAAACGAAACGTATAGAAACAAAACAGAAAAAAACAAAGAAAATGAAAGCGGAAAAGATTAAAGAAGATATTACCGTACAAGAGATTGTGGAACGACAGAAGGAAAGCATAGCTCGCGAAGTTGACGAAATAATGGAAGTACTTGACGCAAAAGAGTTTGGCCCTGGAGAGTCTCCCCTTCGAGAACTTGCGACGATTGGTTACCTGGTTCGACAAGGTGTTTCTGTGAATGAGATCAACGAGTGCCTTTACAGAACTGAAATCTTTCCCGCTTTAAAAACACCCGACGCTCAAAATGCTTTGGTTCAGCTGGTGGAAAGAAAAGGTCACGGCCCATTGATCACTCAAGTGCTCACCGAAGAAACGACGACCGACGAGAGCTTCGTTGCAGCAACAGTTGGTTTCCGTGCTTTCATGAGGATGGTCGAGCTTCAGCATGCTACTGTGGAAGAGGTCATCACACACTTTGCTCCGGAAGATTTCAGGCCACGTGCTTGGGAAGTTACGGAAGTTACTGAGGTAGGAAAATGGCGCAAATGTTATTTGAATTTATAATTTCAAAGATTTTTCTTTTTTTCTTTTTCTATTTCTTTCTCTCTCTCTCTCTCTTTTAATAACATACAAATAATATTTTTATGATTATTTTTCTTCATTTAGGTTGAGACTGGACAACATGCTACAGAAAGAGTGGATATCGTTCGTAAAATGGAGGTTCATTTTATGGGTAAGCCGAAATTGCAAGTTATGCGGTTTTTTATAAAGTCTCACAAAGTCTTTATACTCACAAAATTTAGATTTATTTGAAATTTCTTCTTTCGACATATTAGCCATTATTTTTTAAACGTGCTTGTGTGCATTAGTTCCATTATGCGATAACATAAATATTGGCAAATTTTATCCATGTGCCGTTTTATATGTGTGTATATTTTTTTTGAGTTAACTGTTTTAAATTTTTCAAAAGAATAAGAATCTTCTAATTGCAGAGAGGAGAGACGAAAGGAAAGCCACTCACGCGCAGGATATTCGAGAAATTAAAGGTTCGGAACAATAAGTTTCGATGCATGAGCTATCTAGTCGTATTATCTATCATGCTGATGAGTTAGCGTTCGTTATAATGAGCAGTGCTTCTGCCATAATTTCATATAACTTCTATTATTTTGCTCTTAGCACAGTTAATACTATATTACAGATTCGCAATTTTAATTAATTTAACTTTAGGTGAACACACAAAGTTCCATTAATGACATATAACAAGTGATACTCTTAAATTTACTTTTCAAGTCAGAATTATTAATTTCATGAAGATTAAATTAAATTTTGGATTATAATTCAAGCAATATTTTGATATTTTTAAAATACTTTTTTATCTATAAAAATATAAGAATGTTAGTATGTATAAAAAAAAAGAAGCAAAAAATATATATCACATGACCGTAAAATATGTAGTATTTATGGCTATTGTAACGATCATTATTTTTACTATGCTTTCAGATGCATGAAGCATTACTTGATCAAATAATAGCTGTGCGATTTTTTCGCTTATGCCGCTATGCTTTCCACACGCTACAAATCCTATTTCTTTACCTTTTATAATATTTCCCTTCGTTACATTTTAATCAGCTATTTTTTATATCAGCTTCGAAATCAACGCTTCGCAATGCTCACTCGCGCTACGTCGATTGTGATTTGAAATGTAAGTTGTATATTTTTATAAATACCTCATTCGATACAAAACGATATGAGACATAAAAGTATAGTGTATAATCAAGATATGTTAATAATGTTATACACTCTATTAAATTATTTCCACATTTATTTTACACATATTTGAAAACTCAAACAATTGTCACTTATTTGTTTCTTAAGCTTGTTCATATCGTATGTCAAACACGCGCTCTTTAACCATAGCATGAAGTATGTGAGATTCAAAGAGAGAGAGAGAGAGAGAGAGAGAGAGAGAAAGGACAAGCAAGAATCGAAAAACATCACGCAACACTCACGTCTGACACAAAATTCTCACATACTTTCCACAGAATACGAGGACACACGGCAGGCACACACAACACTGCGCAAACGCAAAGATAGGAAACCAAGAGATCAGATCGAAGAAACAACACAAGATAGGGAAGAGGGGGTTCAAATTGTAAAATTTGAGGGGATCGAGGAGATTGAAAAGGAAAGAAAAAAGGAAACGGAAGAAATCGAGGAAGAGATTATTGAACTTGAACGGGATACAAAGGGCAGATTGATTCGTAAGCAAAAGCAAGACATAGAAAAGCAGATAGACGTAGAAGAGGAGGAAGAAATGATTAAAAAAGTTAGAAAAACATTAATGCCAAAGAGATCAGACATTGATAAAGACGAGATACAACTGGAAGAGGTAGAAGAATTTGAAGTAATAAAGAATAAATCAGTGCCATCTATTGCTTTGAATGTGTCTAGTCAACGTAATCAAATAATACCTTTAGATCGTACAATCGAGCAAGCACCTGGTAAACCCGAGTCGGAAAAAGCAAAATATACTTTAGACACTGTTATTGCGTTAACAGAACAGACAACGTCGGTACACGAAAGAGAGATTGATGAAGTAATGAGCATCAAGCCCGCCGAACGTAAAGCGTCGATATTAATCTCGTCGATTGAACCATATTCTATCACAGAAACTACTGCACAGATATCTACCAAGGAATTTTCGGGCACTTTTAAAGCCGTTTCTTACGAAGCTACGCCTTCTATAATAACGAAAGAAAGTCTTCTCGTCAGTGAAACATTAACCCACGACGACGATGTATCGAATTTAACTTTGGCCCAATCGGAAACGAGTAGAAAGGCAGATGTACAATTTACCGTGCAGGAAGCTACAACTATCAGCGAGACCATAATCAACCAAAGTGAAATACCAACTGAAGATTTCGTGACGCCCTTAGGTGTTAAGGCAGAGGATACCATTTTACCACAGATAGAACTCTCGGTTTATGAAATACAGGAAGGTTTGATTGAAGAGAAGTTGGAACCTGAGAAAATGATGCTTACAAAACCACGAATTAATATTAACGCGATGGAACCGATACTAGTAGAAGAAATTCGTCCCGAAGATAAACCAGGAAAATATTATCCGGAGTTGATAGTGCCCACTGAAATCGCTACCGAAACGGTGATCTCGCAGAAGCAACGCGTCACTGAAGAGATGAACGCGCCCGAAAAGGAAGGAACGTACATTCCAGGTAGATTACCGCCGAGCCAAACTGTTCAGATCGGAATCTCATACGGGAACGAAACTGCTGTTATTCATCACGATCTCGTACAGGAGCGTGAAGGCGAATACGTTCCCGATCGTAAGGTAGATTCTTTCGAAGCTATGCCAAACGTCATTCTTTTGGAAGGTGTTACGATTTCAACAATCAATGCGCAACAAAAAGAAGACGATTTAATGATCGAAGAGAGTAAACAGGTCACGGCGGATTTCAACATCGTTGAAATTATATCGGCTGTGACAGCGGAGACATTGACTTCTGAAAAGGAACGAGACTATCATTCCGAGGACAAGCCCGCTACTAAATTGGCTATTACATCGATATCGCCATTGGAAATTGGTTCTATAACAGACACAATTGTTCAAGAATCTGCAGGATTCTACAGTGCCGATCAAAAACCATTCGAAGCATTGGCGGAAACGTCGGTTAGACCGGAGGAACACATTTTGATATCTCAAGTTCAAACTGCAGATTATCCCGCAGATCTAAAAGATACGCTCAAATATATCTCGGAGAGCGGTGTTATATCTATTCAATTGACGGAAGCGAAAACTGTATTCGAAACGCTCGCTCACGATCGAGAGGCTACTATGGACGAGGATGCTCAACCGGAAACTCATACGGTCAACACGGTATACGATGCGATCAGGGGTATCGAGATATCGCAAACTACTTCTATAGAGAAAGAGACCGAATTGAAAATCTTTGAGATGCCTGAATCGCATCGCGGCAAAACAGTACCTACTCATCCAATGATCTCACTCGAAGTTCAGGAAACTCAACCAGAGAGTAATTTAGGTGAAGTAACGAAAGAAGCGTTATCGATCGCCACGGCTAAAATCGAAGCGGTCAGTCTGCAGGAAACAATTGTTGACGAAACCGTTACGGCAGAAGATGTAGCTCCGGCGGAAGAAGATAAGAATCCCGATACTAGAACCGCCGTAGTTTCAATGGATCAGATCGAAGGCTTACATACTACCATGATCGTTGCGAGCGAGAAGGAAACCGAATATGTTGAAACAGCCAGTGTTAAAGGTGCGTTTGCGAGTACTGAATATACAACGCAAGTGGCTCCAATATGTGAACAAGTGAGAACAGAGTCGCCGACCGAAGAATATCTAGCGGAAGACAAACCTGTGTGCGGAAAAGCATACACATCTCACATTCCTATAGAAACTGTCAGCGTTACTGTACAAGAAACTGCGGAGAAGGAAGAAATTTATAAAGCAGACACAAAGCCCGAAGGAAAGATAGCGAATATCGAACTCACGGAGACAAGACCTGGCGCTAGTGTTCTCGAAATAATTCCGCATGATCTCGAGAATATCTATACGCCAGATGTTGGACCGGAGACTCATACAATCGAATCGTCCATAATTGGTCATGCTGTTGCATCAAAAGCAGAAATCTTAGTAGAACAGAGTGCCGGAAAAATAAAGAGCGATCTACCGAAATCGAGCAAAGCGACATTACAGCAAGAGACTCTGGAAGAATTAATAGTGACCGAGACAAATGTTGGTGAAGCGGAACGAATCAGGGAGGAAGATATGCGCCCTATTAAACAGAACGCCGCGGTCGAAGTATGCAGCCAATCCGAAAAATTGACCGTTACTGAGGTAACAACCATATTAAAAGAGGAAGAATTGTCAGTGGAGAAGTTACCAGATAAACGGAAGGTTGTATTAGACATAACCGGGGGTCATGAGATAGCCCAGACGCAGGAGATGATACTTGCGAGTAATATAAGCGCTTTGAAGGAGGAAAAACCGAACCAAGAGAGCGCCAATCAGTTGCAGAGTGGACTGGATGTTGTACAACAGATGGAAGTATCGGTATCCGAAAAAGAATCTCCTTTAACAGCGGACATGAAACCCGATGCCAAAAAGATCGGCATTACTTTCCAAGAAAGAGAAAGTCTGACGATTGCAATTACGCATCCTGAAGACAAAGAAGATGTGCTTGGTGAAAAACCGGCTCCAAAGACCGCTGAAGCTACACTCGATGTGGTAACGCAAAAAATAGCCTCAAAATACGAGATTATTAGCGACGTTGCTCCAACCGAGCTGTCTACCGTGTCTGCCCAGGAAGTGCATCCTAAAACGACATTATTATCATTCGAGACAGCTATCGCTGAAGAAATACAAACGAGAGAAACCGAAAAACCTCTTCCTTATGTGCCAGCACCAGAGAAAATAGCTAATCTTGAATTTATAATGGGCGAAAGTGTCGTTGTTTCATCTATTACAGCGGAAGACAAGGAGAGCGTGCTCACAGAAATAGAAAAACCGGAATCTAAATCTGCTATATTCGATATTCCCGCTCATACAGTGGCGCAAGCTGCCGAGGTAACCGCGACTGATAACATCAGCGAATTGAAACACGAAGAGACAATCTCCGCAATGGCTACGACCGAGCACATCACTCATCGTAGCATTGTTGCGTCCGAAACATCAGTCGGAGATTCGGAACAGCCGATGCTTGATTTTGTGAAGCCAGATAAAAAGAAAGTCGACGTGTCGTTCGGGGAAGAAACGAGCGTAATGGTGATTGAAACAATTGCATCTGACAAAGAGCAAGAATACTTGAAGAAACTAGATATTCCTGGCGAAAAAGCCACTACAAGCTTCGATGCTCATAAAATCGCCGAACTCACAGAAGTTACATCAGCCACTTATCTAGGGAATCTCGATGTGAAAGTACCAGCGAGCGCAGCAGCAAAAGTAGAACGTTTGCCGTTCGAGAGTATCGTTCAAAGCGAAACTGTTGCAACGGAAACCGAGATAGAGTTCAAGGATAAACCTTTCAAAATGGGTACGGCCCAAATATCTGTCAATGAAATTATCAGCGCCACTATGTCTACCGAAACTCTAGCCGAAAAGGAAGATATTTTTCGAATTCCCGAAAGGCCTGCAGAAAAAAGAGCGGACGTTCAATTTACTGGACGCATAATCGCCGAGAAAAGCGAAGTTACTCCAGATTCTAGCATGGGAGAATTGACAGACACGAAACCAACTTCTGTTTTAGCCGCATTCTCGAGTATCCCGTTAGAGGCAGTGGTACAAACAGAAACGCAACTAACAGAAGCGGAGGCTGTACTCGGTAAAGATAAAGTACCATCAATGGCTCAAGCTGACTTTTCCATGGTATTAGAACAAAGTGTACAAGTATCTTCAGTAATCTTGGAAGACAAAGAAATGGAATATAAACCAAAGGAAACACCGAAACCAAAAACAGCAGAGAAAACACTAATCGAAACTTATGGCGTCGCCGAAACGACGATGCAAGTCCCTGATTTTAGTACTGGCGAGTTTGCTATCAGTGAAATACCGTTAGCTGCTGTTGCAATTCCAGATCACATAGTTTTTAATCCACTAGTGGAATCGCAGCCTGTTGTTCAAGAGGGAGAGGAGCAATTTGTGCCGGCGTTAATACCAAAAAATAAAACTGTGAATATTGACATGGAAGAAGGTAAGGCGATCGTGTGTATAGCGCATGTAACAACTGCGGACAAAGAATCGCCATATGTCGTCGAGGAGCAACCGCGTAAACACGCGGCTTCGTTCGGAATTGATGCCACCCACGGTATAGCTGAAACAATCGCGATAGATATCGAACATTCTGTAGGAGAAGTTACGATAAAAAAACCAGATGTTAAGATGATCTCGTCTACACGAGAAGTATGCCAAAGTCTCTTAGTGACCGAAGGTATGATTCAAGATCAAGAAATATCTTTCGAAGGAAAATTCGTACCGGAATCACACAAAGTAGAATGGTCTGTGGAGGAAGGCAAGCGCGTTACTTCCGTCACAGAAATTAAAATGGCTGACAAAGAAACTCCCCTTGAAACGATAAAAGAAGATAGATCTCGTTCGGCGCTGTCGATTATTATTCCTGGCCATGAGGTCGCCGAGAGGTCTGAAATAATTCTTAATTTGAGTACAGGCGAAATGAGCGAGATTGCAGCACCAACAAGAGCAACCGCACAAATCGGACAGAAACCTTTCGAGACGGTGCAGTTGATCGAACAAGTCCCTATGGAAAGAGAAGTGGACAAGATTCAGGAAATACCATTGACAAAAACGAGCGCGCATGTCATTTTAGATGAAAATAGATTTGTCGCTGTTACGGAATCTGCTATTACCCAAGATGTCGAAGCAGAATTTACCACGAAAAAATTACATCAAGAGGCAGCAAATCTTTTGATGGAAGGCAAAGAAGTAGCCGAACGAATAGAAATTAGTTTACGCGAAGGACTCGGAGAACTGCCCGCAGCATTAAAACCGATTACATATGAGGCACATCAAACGCAATCTACCTTAGAAAGTATTGATATTAGCGAAACGGTTTCTCAGGAACAGGGTACAATATTTATCGACAAATTCAAACCTGACAAACGTAGTGCCGACATTAGCTTTGTAGAAGGAAAAAGTATTACCGTGGCTCATGTCGTAACGCAAGACAAAGAAGGCACAATGAAAATTCCGAAATATGAAGAGAGTACAGCTAAGGTAAAATTAACAAAGCTTGGTATGGATATTGCTCAAAAAACTCAAGTCTTTATCGAGCAAAATACAGGTTTGGTTAAACCTTTCGAGAAGATTTTAGTGGAAGCTCACCCACAGCAAGATACATTGCAGCCTATCGTCATTGAAGAAGTTCCAAGTGCCGAAAGTGAAGGTATCTTTGATAAATATCCGAAGACAATATCAAGCACAGCTGTGCCAACATTTGAAGAGGATCATGGCGTATTTATTACGGAAGTAACATCCGGCGAAGTTGAAGCATCATTGGAGAAGAAGAGACACGAAATGTCGCAAACAGCTGTCCGCACTATCGTCACTGAATGCGATACCATAGAAACTGTGACGGTGGAATCACGAGTTGATGTACCTGAACAAATTTCTGATCGTATTTTAGCACCTCAAGTGGCTGCGCCGACCCAAGACACATTTGAAAGCATCATTGTCAACGAAAATCTTGTCGAAGAAAGTGAGAAGACCTTCGAAAACCTTTTCAAACCTGCGACGCAAAAAGCGAGCATTGATATATCGGAGGTAAAATCATTGCAAGTTTCAGAAACAATTACTGAGGATAAGGAAGAAACGTTAGATGTCATTTCAAAACGAAATGAAGTCAAAGCTACACCTGACATCGATCTATTCCAAACTATCGAAGGTTCTTTCGTGCAGAGTATACAAAGTACTCGAGAGCTTTGCGAAAAGAAACCACTTTCTTCTCAAGCAACCATGATTCAAACTACGATGGAAACAGTAGTGAGGTCTGAAACAATGCCAGTCGAAAAAGAAGACATATTTAAGAGCAAGCTTAAACCCGAGGAACAGAAGGGAAAGCCGCAATTCGAAAGCCTTACTACAGTTGTAATTACTGAAATAGCTTCTAATGAAATCGAAGATGTTTTACCTGAAACTGTCGCACCAAAACAACGACAGGCGCAACCAAACTTAACTGGTAGAGAAGCTGCGGAAACTTTTCAAATAATTACAGCAAGCACGACCGAAGATCTTGCAAAAGCTGCTAAATTAAATGAAGAAAAAGGTAAACCAGAACTTGAAGAATTATTATCCGTGACTGTCTCTGAAATCATTTCCAATGAAGTTGAAGACGTTCTAATTAGCAAGGCTACTCCAAAAGATTGTAAGGCTGATTTTAGTGTTTCTGGTAGAGAAATCGCCGAAACAAGTCAGATAACAGCGTTGTCTGAGACTGACGACCTCGCTATAGAAACACCAGAAAAGCAGAAAGGCAAACGACAAGTGGATAAATTAACTTCGCTGACTATTTCACAAGTAATTTCTAACGAAATGGAAGAAACGTTAGTTAGCGCTGAGCTTCCTGTGGAGAAAACAGCTCGACCAAATTTGATTGGTAGAGATATCGCAGAAACTACATTGGTCATGACAATGGCCAGCACCGAAGAATTTGTCTCTAAAAAAGAAATTGAAAAACAGCGAGGTAAGCCTAGTATTGAAGAACTTACGTCCTTAACAGTTTCACAAATAGAATCACAGGAAACTGAAAATATCCTTGCTAGTCCCGTAATACCAACCGAGAGAACGGCGCAAACAAGTCTGTGTGGTCGAGATGTAGCCGAGACCACGGAAGTAACAACTGTGTCAAATGTAGATGAATTTGTTGAAATTCGGAAGCCCGAAATACAAAAGGGAAAACCGAATCTCGAGGAATTATTATCCTTGAATATAATGCAAACTGTTCCTAATGAAGTGGAAGCTTTGTTGCCTAGTCCGGAAGTGCCCACAGAAAAGATTGCGCAAGCCAATTTATTTGGTAGAGATGCAGCCGAAACAAGTCAAATTTTAACGATGATGAGCGCAGAAGAACTTTTAAAACAAGTAACACCCGATGAGCGTAAAGGAGAGTTTAAAGTAGAAGAATTATCTTCATTGACTGTATCTCAGATATTATCTCATGAAACTGAAAGAATTTTTCAGAGTTCTGACGCACCTACTGTATTCACGGCACTGCCTATGATGTCCGGCAGAGAAATTGCTGAAACTTCTCAAGTGCTCACTGTTACGAATGTTGAAGAATTTTCGAGACCCAAAAGTCCAGAAGAACAAAAAGGTAAACCACACTTGGACGAATTATCATCACTAATGGTTTCTCAAGTAATATCTACCGAAACAGAGGCGCAATTGCCGAGCCCGGAAAAGTTAGATGAGAAAAAAGCCGCACCGTGTCTCTCAGGAAGGGAGATAGCTCAGAAAATCGAAATTGTAACTGCCGCGAGCGTTGAACAAATACCCGAAGTAAAGAAAAAAGATAGCCAAAAAGGAAAACCAAATGTCGAAGAGATGAGTTTTATTACTGTGTCCGAAGTAATTTCTACGGAAACAGAACAAGAATTGCCAAACCAAGAGACTCCAAAAGAACGTACAGCTCTGCCAAAAGTATCTAGTATAGAAGTCGCAGAAACTTCAGAAATTTTAACAGTGAGCAATGTCGAAGAACTTGCAAAATCAGAAATTCCTGAGGAACATAGAGGTAAACCAAATTTAGAAGAATTGATGCCATTATCAATCTCTGAAGTGGCTTACAGTGAAACAGAGAAAGGACTATTAACTCCGGAAGAACCTATCAAACAAATAGCTGAGCAGAGCATGCTAAGTATGCGCGTTGCCGAAAAATCTCAAGTAGTTGCATCGTCAACAACGGAAGAGATAATGAAGTCTGCTAAACCAGAAACAAAGAAAATAACACCGGAACATATACCGTTTGAAAGCATACAACAGATGGAATCGATTCTTCATGAAAGTGAACGATCGCTTATTCTTGACAAAGAAGCACCAACTACAACTGCTGAAATTTCATTTCGTGTTTCCGAAGGTGTTGAAGTTATCCAAGTAACTGCAACAGAAAAGGAAACAAAAGAGATAAAAAATCTGGAATTAACTAAACAGATAGCTGAACCGAGCATGCTGGGAATGCGCGTTGCCGAAAAGTCCCAAGTAGTTACATCGTCAATAACGGAGGAAATAATAGAATCTGCTAAACCTGAGATGAAGAAAATAACGCCGGAACAAATACCGTTTGAGAGTATACAACAAATAGAGTCGATTCCTCATGAAAGTGAACGATTGCTTGTTCTCGATAAAGATGCTCCAAGTACAACGGCTGAAGTTTCATTCCGCGTTTCTGAAAGTGTCGAAGTTATTCAAGTAACCGCGACGGAAAAGGAAGCAAAGGATGTCGTAAAAGGTATAGCAGAATTAACTGAACAGGTAGCCGAACCGAGCATGCTGAGTATGCGCGTTGCCGAAAAATCTCAAGTGATTACATCATCAACAACGGAAGAGATAATGAAGTCTGCTAAACCTGAGATGAAAAAAATAACACCAGAACAAATACCGTTTGAAAGTATACAACAAATGGAGCCGATTCCTCATGAAAGCGAACGCTCGTTTGTCTTCGACAAAGAAGCATCAAGTACAATGGCTGGAGTTTCATTTTGCGTTTCCGAAGCTGTTGAAGTTACTCAAATAACCGCAACAGAAAAGGAAACAAAGGAAGTTATGAGGGATTTGGAGGAACCAGCTAAACAGATAGCCGAGCAAAGCATGCTAAGTATGCGCGTTGCTGAGAAGTCTCAAGTAATTGCATCATCAACAACAGAAGATATAAAACAGTTCATTAAGCCGGAAGTAAAGAAAATAATACCAGGACAAATACCGTTTGAGAGTATACAACAGATGGAATCAGTTCCTCACGAAAGTGAACAATCGCTCATCCTCGACAAAGAGGCATCAAGCGCAACGGCCAAAATTTCATTCCGCGTTTCTGAAGGTGTCGAAGTTATTCAAGTAACCGCTACAGAGAAAGAATCAAAAGAAATCGTAAAAGGTATGGCCAAAGAAGCAAGCGCACAAGCTGATATAATTGAGCGAAAGGTTGCTCTAAAAACCGAAATTCTTCCGGAAAACGTAGTATCTGAATTTATTATCACGAAACCAGAAAGTAAACTAGCTCACGGAATAAAAGACGAGAAACAAAGTGTGATTGTTACCGAATTACAACACGCTGCTGAAATTGAATCAAATCTGCCCGAGCCCGTAATACCACTAGCAAAGTTAGCGAGCACATCTATCGAAGCTGACTACTTGGAAAAAATTGAGGGTGAGTATTGTTCTTCTAAAGATAACATGATTATTTTTAACACAAATGAGACGCGACGTTTAAAGAAACTCGACTCGATGCGACACGATGACCATAATCGGTAAAACTTGACAAATCAAACAAATCTGACAGATTAGATTAGATTCATTAACATTCTAAAAAACAATTTTAATAGAATTATCGATCTTTGATAATTACTTAAAATTAGGTTAATAAATTTACAATCAACTACGCAATATGATAAAAACTGTCTCAGGTAAGTGCAGCACGCAATTAGACACAAAGTCAAACATAATCGATATTTACAATAAAATTGAACCACATACAAAATTTACATTCAAATAAAAAACAATGTGTACTCCTGTATCATGTTTAATTCTACCATGCTTGAAGCGAGGTAAGCTATCCTCGACATTCGAGTGATGAATAATATTAAATAGTTACAAAGATGTTTGATTTCAAATTACTAATACGCTGAGTATTAGTCAAACTTTTTGATGCAAATAACGCAAACGGATTTACTAAATACACAACAGCTTAGTCATGCCACAATTGTTCTGTATACATTTCAGAAATCACTGCAGCAACAGCCCAACAACATCACATCACAATTACACAACACATTACAAAACACGAAAAAACACAACAACCATTGACCGACTCCGACACTGAAATAACTGAGGAATACACTACTAAATTTAGACGTGGTAGTAAAGACAATGAAACCGCAGCAGTAAAAACAAAGAAAACGACAATTAGGAAAAAGAAACCAAAAACTAAATCTGATGAAAAAGTTGTTGTAATCGAAGAGGAACTTGAAAACATAAAATCGCAAATACCATCGATACCAAAAAAACAGTTTATGCATATTGAAGAAGTAACGGAAATGAATGGAATAGAAGAAATAAGCCCAACAAAAATTGAAGAATTAGAAGAAATATCACAAAAACAATTAGAACCAACGCAAGCAAAAAGGAAGCATCAGATAGTAATAAAAGACCAAGAGAAAGAAACAGAACAAGCACCTATAACAAAAATTACAGAAAGTCTTTCACAGGAAATTAGTGAAGAAACCGTGTTGCCTCTTCCACAGCATGAATTGGCCAAACCTATTGAGGAGGAAGAGGTAAGAGAACAAGTTACTGTGACCGAGGAAGTAGTGGAGGAAAAGAAACCAAAAAAAATTACAAAGAAGAAAATTATCAAACGTAAAGGACAAAAGCAGCAAGTAACGGAAGAAGTTACTGTGGAAGAAAAAGGACAATCTCCTGTGACAACGATAACGGAAGGTCCTCTGGAAGAAATTGTCGAAGAAACCGTGTTGCCTCTTCCACAGCATGAATTGGCCAAACCTATTGAGGAGGAAGAGGTAAGAGAACAAGTTACAGTAACCGAGGAAGTAGTAGAAGGGAAGAGACCAAAGAAAATTACAAAGAAGAAAATTATAAAACGTAAAGGACGGAAACAGCAAATAATGGAAGAAGTTACTGTGGAAGAAAAGGGACAATCTCCTGTGACAACAATAACAGAGGGTCCTCTGGAGGAAATTGTCGAAGAAACCGTGTTGCCTCTTCCACAGCATGAATTGGCCAAACCTATTGAGGAGGAAGAGGTAAGAGAACAAGTTACTGTGACCGAGGAAGTAGTGGAGGAAAAGAAACCAAAAAAAATTACAAAGAAGAAAATTATCAAACGTAAAGGACAAAAGCAGCAAGTAACGGAAGAAGTTACTGTGGAAGAAAAAGGACAATCTCCTGTGACAACGATAACGGAAGGTCCTCTGGAGGAAACTGCCGAAGAAGCCGTGTTGCCTCTTCTACAGCATGAATTTGCAAAACCTATTGAGGAGGAAGAGATAAGAGAACAAGTTACAGTAACCGAGGAAGTAGTAGAAGGAAAGAGACCAAAGAAAATTACAAATAAGAAAATTATCAAACGTAAAGGACAAAAGCAGCAAATAACGGAAGAAGTTACTGTGGAAGAAAAGGGGCAGTCTCCTGTGACAACAATAACGGAGAATCCTCTGGAGGAAATTCTTGAAGAAACTGTGTTGCCTCTTCCACAGCATGAATTTGCTAAACCTATTGAGGAGGAAGAGATAAGAGAACAAGTTACAGTGACCGAGGAAGTAGTGGAGGGGAAGAAACCAAAGAAAATTACAAAGAAGAAAATTATAAAACGTAAAGGACGGAAACAGCAAATAATGGAAGAAGTTACTGTGGAAGAAAAGGGGCAGTCTCCTATAACAACGATAACGGAGGGTCCTTTGGAAGAAATTCTTGAAGATACTGTGTTGCCGCTGCCACAATCTGAAATTATTAAGCCTAGTGAGGAGGAAGAGATAAGAGAACAAATTACTGTGACCGAGGAAGTAGTGGAGGGGAAAAAACCAAAGAAAATTACAAAGAAGAAAATTATCAAACGTAAAGGACAAAAGCAGCAAGTAACGGAAGAAGTTACTGTGGAAGAAAAGGGACAATCTCCTGTGACAACAATAACAGAGTGTCCTCTGGAGGAAATTGTCGAAGAAACCGTATTGCTTCTACCACAGCATGAATTTGCCAAACCTATTGAGGAAGAACAGATACGAGAACAAGTTACAGTAACCGAGGAAATAGTAGAAGGGAAGAGACCAAAGAAAATTACAAAGAAGAAAATTATCAAACGTAAAGGACAAAAGCAGCAAGTAACGGAAGAAGGTACTGTGGAAGAAAAGGGACAATCTCCTGTGACAACGATAACGGAAGGTCCTCTGGAGGAAATTGACGAAGAAACCGTGTTGCCTCTTCTACAGCATGAATTTCCCAAACCTATTGAGAAGGAAGACATAAGAGAGCAAGTTACAGTAACCGAGGAAGTAGTAGAAGGGAAGAGACCAAAGAAAATTACAAAGAAGAAAATTATCAAACGTAAAGGACAAAAGCAGCAAGTAACGGAAGAAGGTACTGTGGAAGAAAAGGGACAATCTCCTGTGACAACGATAACGGAAGGTCCTCTGGAGGAAATTGACGAAGAAACCGTGTTGCCTCTTCTACAGCATGAATTTCCCAAACCTATTGAGAAGGAAGACATAAGAGAGCAAGTTACAGTAACCGAGGAAGTAGTAGAAGGGAAGAGACCAAAGAAAATTACAAAGAAGAAAATTATCAAACGTAAAGGACAAAAGCAGCAAGTAACGGAAGAAGGTACTGTGGAAGAAAAGGGACAATCTCCTGTGACAACGATAACGGAAGGTCCTCTGGAGGAAATTGACGAAGAAACCGTGTTGCCTCTTCTACAGCATGAATTTCCCAAACCTATTGAGAAGGAAGACATAAGAGAGCAAGTTACAGTAACCGAGGAAGTAGTAGAAGGGAAGAGACCAAAGAAAATTACAAAGAAGAAAATTATCAAACGTAAAGGACAAAAGCAGCAAGTAACGGAAGAAGGTACTGTGGAAGAAAAGGGACAATCTCCTGTGACAACGATAACGGAAGGTCCTCTGGAGGAAATTGACGAAGAAACCGTGTTGCCTCTTCTACAGCATGAATTTCCCAAACCTATTGAGAAGGAAGACATAAGAGAGCAAGTTACAGTAACCGAGGAAGTAGTAGAAGGGAAGAGACCAAAGAAAATTACAAAGAAGAAAATTATCAAACGTAAAGGACAAAAGCAGCAAGTAACGGAAGAAGGTACTGTGGAAGAAAAGGGACAATCTCCTGTGACAACGATAACGGAAGGTCCTCTGGAGGAAATTGACGAAGAAACCGTGTTGCCTCTTCTACAGCATGAATTTCCCAAACCTATTGAGAAGGAAGACATAAGAGAGCAAGTTACAGTAACCGAGGAAGTAGTAGAAGGGAAGAGACCAAAGAAAATTACAAAGAAGAAAATTATCAAACGTAAAGGACAAAAGCAGCAAGTAACGGAAGAAGGTACTGTGGAAGAAAAGGGACAATCTCCTGTGACAACGATAACGGAAGGTCCTCTGGAGGAAATTGACGAAGAAACCGTGTTGCCTCTTCTACAGCATGAATTTCCCAAACCTATTGAGAAGGAAGACATAAGAGAGCAAGTTACAGTAACCGAGGAAGTAGTAGAAGGGAAGAGACCAAAGAAAATTACAAAGAAGAAAATTATCAAACGTAAAGGACAAAAGCAGCAAGTAACGGAAGAAGGTACTGTGGAAGAAAAGGGACAATCTCCTGTGACAACGATAACGGAAGGTCCTCTGGAGGAAATTGACGAAGAAACCGTGTTGCCTCTTCTACAGCATGAATTTCCCAAACCTATTGAGAAGGAAGACATAAGAGAGCAAGTTACAGTAACCGAGGAAGTAGTAGAAGGGAAGAGACCAAAGAAAATTACAAAGAAGAAAATTATCAAACGTAAAGGACAAAAGCAGCAAGTAACGGAAGAAGGTACTGTGGAAGAAAAGGGACAATCTCCTGTGACAACGATAACGGAAGGTCCTCTGGAGGAAATTGACGAAGAAACCGTGTTGCCTCTTCTACAGCATGAATTTCCCAAACCTATTGAGAAGGAAGACATAAGAGAGCAAGTTACAGTAACCGAGGAAGTAGTAGAAGGGAAGAGACCAAAGAAAATTACAAAGAAGAAAATTATCAAACGTAAAGGACAAAAGCAGCAAGTAACGGAAGAAGGTACTGTGGAAGAAAAGGGACAATCTCCTGTGACAACGATAACGGAAGGTCCTCTGGAGGAAATTGACGAAGAAACCGTGTTGCCTCTTCTACAGCATGAATTTCCCAAACCTATTGAGAAGGAAGACATAAGAGAGCAAGTTACAGTAACCGAGGAAGTAGTAGAAGGGAAGAGACCAAAGAAAATTACAAAGAAGAAAATTATCAAACGTAAAGGACAAAAGCAGCAAGTAACGGAAGAAGGTACTGTGGAAGAAAAGGGACAATCTCCTGTGACAACGATAACGGAAGGTCCTCTGGAGGAAATTGACGAAGAAACCGTGTTGCCTCTTCTACAGCATGAATTTCCCAAACCTATTGAGAAGGAAGACATAAGAGAGCAAGTTACAGTAACCGAGGAAGTAGTAGAAGGGAAGAGACCAAAGAAAATTACAAAGAAGAAAATTATCAAACGTAAAGGACAAAAGCAGCAAGTAACGGAAGAAGTTACTGTGGAAGAAAAGGGACAAGCTCCTGTAACAACGATAACGGAAGGTCCTCTGGAGGAAATTGTCGAAGGAACCGTATTGCCTCTACCACAGCATGAATTTGCCAAACCTATTGAGGAGAAAAAGATAAGAGAACAAGTTACAGTAACCGAGGAAATAGTAGAAGGGAAGAGACCAAATAAAATTACAAAGAAGAAAATTATCAAACGTAAAGGACAAAAGCAGCAAGTAACGGAAGAAGTTACTGTGGAAGAAAAGGGACAAGCTCCTGTAACAACGATAACGGAAGGTCCTCTGGAGGAAATTGTCGAAGAAACCGTGTTGCCTCTTCTACAGCATGAAGTTGCCAACAATCTCCTGTGACAACGATAACAGAAAGTCCTCTGGAAGAAATTGTCGAAGAAACCGTGTTGCCTCTTCTACAGCATGAAGTTGCCAACAATCTCCTGTGACAACGATAACAGAAAGTCCTCTGGAAGAAATTGTCGAAGAAACCGTGTTGCCTCTTCTACAGCATGAAGTTGCCAACAATCTCCTGTGACAACGATAACAGAAAGTCCTCTGGAAGAAATTGTCGAAGAAACCGTGTTGCCTCTTCTACAGCATGAAGTTGCCAACAATCTCCTGTGACAACGATAACGGAAGGTCCTCTGGAGGAAATTGTCGAAGAAACCGTGTTGCCTCTTCTACAGCATGAAGTTGCCAAATTTATTGAGGAGGAACAGATAAGAGAACAAGTTACAGTAACCGAGGAAATTGTAGATGGGGGGAGACCAAAGAAAATTACAAAGAAGAAAATTATCAAACGTAAAGGACAAAAGCAGCAAGTACCGGAAGAAGTTACTGTGGAAGAAAAGGGACAATCCCCTGTGACAACGATAACGGAAGGTCCTCTGGAGGAAATTGTCGAAGAAACCGTGTTGCCTCTTCTACAGCATGAATTTGCCAAACTTATTGAGGAGGAACACATAAGAGAACAAGTTACAGTAACCGAGGAAGTTGTAGAAGGGAAAAGACCAAAGAAAATTACAAAGAAAAAAATTATAAAACGTAAAGGGCGGAAACAGCAAATAACGGAAGAAGTTACTGTGGAAGAAAAGGGGCAGTCTCCTGTGACAACGATAACGGAGGGTCCTCAGGAGGAAATTGTCGAAGAAACCGTGTTGCCGCGGCCACAGCCTGAAATTATCAAGCCTAGTGAGGTGGAAGAGATAAGAGAACAAGTTACAGTGATCGAGGAAGTAGTAGAAGGAAAGAAACTAAAGAAAATTGTCAAACGTAAGGGACAAAAACAGCAAGTAACAGAAGAAGTTAATGTCGTAGAAAAAGAACAGTTTCCTGTGTGTGTGACAACTATTACAGAGGATTCTCCAAAGAAACATCAGGCGGTAGGAACCACAATTCATCTTCACGCAAACACTACACCGGAAATACACAACAAACTCAAACATAAAAGTTTGATTAAACATTTAGATAATGAGATAATGCTGAAAGGTAAGCTTTTTTGCTTATTGTTATATTTAATCCCTACGTCTTGATAATATTATATATTTTTTATACTGAACATATGAACACATTTTTTGCTGATAATAAAATACAGGATAACAAAACTATTATTAATTAGTAATCTTTTACGTTGATGTACATTAACACACTGTAGCATACACAGTAACATAATTTTTTGTATGTTAAGATATATAATTATTGTGTTTACATTATTTGTTTTTGAACAAGTTTAGTCAAATTTCATATATTTTTTTATTTTGCAGATGTTCCGAGAAAACTGATGTATCAGGTAAGCCAAAATATAAATTTACTTTAGTATAGTATGATATATATTATATTATTATACTTTTACAGCCACAAGAAACAAAGTGTGAAATTCCAGAAGAAATTGTAGAAGAAATAGTGACAGAAACAGCAGAGAAAGAAAAGGCTCGTCTTTTGCTAGAAGAGGAAGAATTGGTGAAAATAATGAGAGTAGGCATCAAAGAAGTGCCAGAAGAAAAAGAGGAAATATCTATTGTTGAGGTAGAGAAAACCGTCGAAACACCGACGCACAAAATTATTAGAACAAAGAAACAACCAAAGAAAAAAGATGAACAAATTGAGATTATTGAGGAATTGACCATAAAGCCGGAGGATAAAATTGTTATGGTAGAACAGCAGCATGTAACCGACATCGATAAAAAACCAGTTAAAAAAATAATTAAGAAGAAAAAGCACTTGACCGGAGCTGAAGATGTTCTTGAAGAAGCTGTAGAGGATATCGTAATGGACAAACCAAAGAAAGAAAAAGCTAGAACTATTATAGAAGATAGACAGGAAACAGTTTTAGTCACCGAGCCAAAAGTACATGAAGCAGCTGTTAAGATGCCAGAGGAAAAAATAGATATCGGGGAAGAAATAATAGAAACTATTAAAACACCTACAACAAAAATTATTAAAAAGAAAAAATTGGCAGTAGATGATCACAACAAACAAATTATTGAGAAAATTGTGCAGAAACCAGCTGAGGAAACTGAAATAATAGAAAAAGAAAAAATGATTGAAATAGTTGAAACGCCAACAAAAAAAATTATTAAAAGGAAAAAGGCGGAAACTTATGATGATAATGCGCCAGAAGAAATTGTTGAAGAAATTCTTATAGAAAAACCGAAGAAAGAACAAGCTCGAACTATATTATCTCCACGAGAGAGTATTGAAGTAACGCAGATCTTAACTGAATCATCCATTTCCAAAATCACAGAAGATAAAACTAAACTAAAAGAAGCTGTAGTATGCAAAAATGAAGAAGAAAAAGATATTTTGAAGAAAGTTTCAATGAAAGAAACGAGCACAATTCCTATTCAGGAAGAAGTAACAGCCGAGATTACTAAAGAAATAATAAGTGAGAAACCAAAAGAAGAACAAATACAATCGATTATTATACCAAAAGAAGAACTCAAAGTAACTGAAACAATTTCAAGCACAACCACTGAGGAACTTCTCGAGAAGATAAAACCGACGGAAGAAACGGCAGTGCCAATTAAGGATGTGGAGTCACAAATTGAGATAAAGGAAGTTACAATACAAAAAGCCCCTAAAAAGATTAAACCAATATATGTAAATGAACAACAAGTCAAAGAAGAAATTGTTGAAGAATTTATTTCAGATAAACCCATAAAGGAAGAAGCGGAAAAGATAATAACTGCAAATGAAGAAATAGAGACTACCGAAATTATTTCTGAAATTACAACTAGTAAACTTGATGAAGATAAAAGACCGCAAAAAGAACAAGCTGTGTCCATAGAAGAGATAAAACAAGATATAAAATTAACAGAAGTACCCGTAAAGAGAGCACCCCTTATTAAGAAAAAAGCCAAGGAAATGAAAGAAGATCGCCCAGATGAATCAATAGAAAAAATAAAATTAAAAGAACCTAAAAAGGAAAAAGCTAAAGAAAGTGTAGCTTTACAGGAGAGTATCGACATTTCGGAAGTGATGACAGAAACGATACCTGAAGAACTTGCTACGGAAGAAACATTCTCTGAAAAGAAAGTAAAACCAAGTATTGCACTGGTAGAAACAATTGAAAAGGAAAAAGCAAAATCTACTATAGTTGAAGTCAAGAAAGAGAACGAAAAAGTAGTGGAAGAAATAATACCAGTGAAACCTAAGAAAGAAGAAACAAAAATAAATAAAATAGATATTACAATGGCAGAGATAACTTCGGAATCTAAAATTAAAGATATTCCAAAAGAAAAACAACCTGACGAAAAATTAGAAAAAGTAAGGATAATGCAGTCCGTAGAAATAAAAGAAGTCAAGAAATTAGAAGAAGAAATTGTCCCCATTGTGAAAGAAAAATCTATTGAACCTGAAGTCACTGAGGAATTGAAAGAAAAGAAAGTTATCAAGAAAAAGAAAAAGAAGCCTGTAAAAAAAGATGATATAGACGATTGGGTAGAACCCGAATATGAAAGGCCTGTATTAGAACCAATGCCTGAAAAAATTCAATGGGAACCAACAAAAAAGAAAAAAGAAAAGAAAACATTACCTGAAGCTATGCAAAAATTGGTTCCGCAAAAGATTGAAAGAAAAGAAATCAAACCTACAAAATTAAAATATATTGAACCACCACAAGAAACAGTTCAGTTTGGTACAATTAAATTAAAAAAAGTAACAGTTGTTAAGAAAAAAGAAATTAGCGAACCAATATTTCCTAAAATTATGTTACGTAGCAGAATCACATTTGTTGGTGACTATCCGCCAGAAATACAAATACCAAAAATTACATATATGGAAAAGAATATGATACAAAATGGTATTTTGTCTAGAAATGCAGAAGAAGCTTTACAGGTTTTAAAGAAAAAATATAAAAAACCAAAAATGCCAGAGAAAGAATTAACTGAATTAGAAAAATTGGATAAAGAGTTTGAAGAATTGAAGAAAGTGCCACTAGAAAAAATAGACGATAAATCTATTTACGAACGAACACCTAAAAAGCCGGAAAAAACACCCGAAGAACCGCAAAAACTTATTGTTGGAAAAGGTGAAATAAAACAAGAACCTAAAATTGTGCCAGAAGAAGTTAAGCTAAAGAAAACATTGGAAAAGAAACCGGAAGAATTAATAGAAACTAAAGAGAAACTAAAAAAGAAAAAATCTGTAGAAGATGTGCACCAGAAAAAAGAAGAAAAACCTAAAGAAACGCTCTCTTATGATGAATTTAAACCAGTAGAATTTGATAGACCAGAAATTGAAAAATATATACCTGAAGATATCGAAATAACAAAAAAACCAGAACCTGAACCTATTTCAAAACCATATGAAAGACCTAAGAAAAAGCAACCTGAGCAGGATATTGAACAAATTCCACTAATAAAAGGAATACCAAAGCCACAAGAGCCCGAAGAAGAACCCAAAGTCAAATTCCGAATACCAACTTCAGAGAAACCGGAAGATGAACCTGAAACAATAACTCTGAAAGGCTGGAAAAAAGATAAACCCAAAGAAGAGGGTACAGAAGAATATCCAACTAAGGAAAAAGATGTTATTCCAACAATACCCAAAGAAGATACAAAAGAAGTGATATTGAAACAGAAACCAAAGAAAAAGACAGTTAAAGAAGAAACTGCTGCAAAAATTACTGTAAAGAAACCTATTCCAAAAGAAGAAGAGCAAGTACCAGAAGAAGTTTCTGAGAAAGTGGCAATAAAGAAACCTATAAAAGAGGAAACTGCGGATGAAGTAACGATTAAAAAACCAGTCGTTGAAGACAAAAAAGAAGAGGTAAAAGAGATCACAGAAGAAATCACATTAAAAAAGAAGCCAAAGAAAAAATCCATCACAGAGGAAACTGCTGCTGAAGTAACAGTAAAGAAATCTGTTCCGAAAGAAGAAGAACAAGTACCGGAAGAAGTTTCTGAAAAAGTGGCAATAAAGAGACCTAAAAAGGTACCTATCAAAGAGGAAACTACGGATGAAGTAACGATTAAAAAACCAGTCAATGAGAAAAGAAAAGAAGAAATAAAAGAAATCACAGAGGAAGTCACATTAAAAAAGAAGCCGAAGAAAAAACCAGTCACGGAGGAAATCGCTGCCGAAATAATTGTAAAAAAACCCGTTTCAAAAGAAGAACAAATACCGGAAGAAGTTTCTGAGAAAGTGGCAATACAGAAACCTAAAAAAGAACCTATCAAGGAGGAAATTGCGGATGAAGTGACGATTAAAAAACCAGTCGTTGAAGAGAGAAAAGAAGAGGTAGAAGAAATCACAGAGGAAGTCACATTAAAAAAGAAACCAAAGAAAAAATCCGTTACAGAGGAAACCGCTGCCGAAATAACTGTAAAGAAACCCGTTCCGACGGAAGAAGAACGAGTACCGGAAGAAGTTTCAGAGAAAGTGGCAATAAAGAAACCTAAAAAGGAACCTATCAAAGAGGAAGCTGCAGCTGAAGTGACGATTAAAAAACCAGTCGTTGAAAAGAGAAAAGAAGAGGTAGAGGAAATCACAGAGGAAGTCACATTAAAAAAGAAACCAAAGAAAAAATCCGTCACAGAGGAAACCGCTGCCGAAATAACTGTAAAGAAACCCGTTCCGACGGAAGAAGAACGAGTACCGGAAGAAGTTTCAGAGAAAGTGGCAATAAAGAAACCTAAAAAGGAACCTATCAAAGAGGAAGCTGCAGCTGAAGTGACGATTAAAAAACCAGTCGTTGAAGAGAGAAAAGATGAGGTAGAAGTAATCACAGAGGAAGTCATATTAAAAAAGAAACCAAAGAGAAAATCTGTGACAGAGGAAACCGCTGCCGTAATAACTGTAAAGAAACCCGTTCCGAAGGAAGAAGAACAAGTACCGGAAGAAGTTTCTGAGAAAGTGGCAATAAAGAAACCGAAAAAGAAATCTTTCAAGGAAGAAGTCGCCGAAGTTACAAAGAAACCTAAAAAGGAACCTATCAAAGAGGAAGCTGCAGCTGAAGTGACGATTAAAAAACCAGTCGTTGAAGAGAGAAAAGATGAGGTAGAAGTAATCACAGAGGAAGTCATATTAAAAAAGAAACCAAAGAGAAAATCTGTGACAGAGGAAACCGCTGCCGTAATAACTGTAAAGAAACCCGTTCCGAAGGAAGAAGAACAAGTACCGGAAGAAGTTTCTGAGAAAGTGGCAATAAAGAAACCTAAAAAGGAACCTATCAAAGAGGAAGCTGCAGCTGAAGTGACGATTAAAAAACCAGTCGTTGAAGAGAGAAAAGATGAGGTAGAAGTAATCACAGAGGAAGTCATATTAAAAAAGAAACCAAAGAGAAAATCTGTGACAGAGGAAACCGCTGCCGTAATAACTGTAAAGAAACCCGTTCCGAAGGAAGAAGAACAAGTACCGGAAGAAGTTTCTGAGAAAGTGGCAATAAAGAAACCTAAAAAGGAACCTATCAAAGAGGAAGCTGCAGCTGAAGTGACGATTAAAAAACCAGTCGTTGAAGAGAGAAAAGATGAGGTAGAAGTAATCACAGAGGAAGTCATATTAAAAAAGAAACCAAAGAGAAAATCTGTGACAGAGGAAACCGCTGCCGTAATAACTGTAAAGAAACCCGTTCCGAAGGAAGAAGAACAAGTACCGGAAGAAGTTTCTGAGAAAGTGGCAATAAAGAAACCTAAAAAGGAACCTATCAAAGAGGAAGCTGCAGCTGAAGTGACGATTAAAAAACCAATCGTTGAAGAGAGAAAAGAAGAGGTAGAAGTAATCACAGAGGAAGTCACATTAAAAAAGAAGCCAAAGAAAAAATCCGTCACAGAGGAAACCGCTGCCGAAATAACTGTCAAGAAACCCGTTCCGAAGGAAGAAGAACCGGAAGAAGTTTCTGAGAAAGTGGCAATAAAGAAACCTAAAAAGGAACCTATCAAAGAGGAAGCTGCAGCTGAAGTGACAATTAAAAAACCAGTCGTTGAGGAAAGAAAAAAAGAAGTAGAAGAAATTACAGACGAAGTTACATTAAAAAAGAAACCGAAGAAAAAACTCATCACAGAGGAAACCGCTGCCGAAATAACTATAAAGAAACCCGTTCCGAAGAAAGAAGAACCGGAAGAAGTTTCTGAGAAAGTGGCAATAAAGAAACCGAAAAAGAAATCTTTCAAGGAAGAAGTCGCGGACGAAGTTACAATTAAAAAATCTGTTATAGAAAAGGAGAAGGAAGACATTGTTGAAGAAGTTACTTTTAAATCGAAGCCAAGACAAAAGATTACCGAACCGGAAGAAATATCAGAAGTGACTATTGCTAAACCCGTAGAGGAAAAGCAAAAACAAGAAGACATTACAGACACATCTACGGATATATTACTAAAGAAAAAGAAACCAGTGCTAACAGGTGAAGAAGTGATTGTGGAGGAATTAACTATACAAAAATTCGAAGAGATAGAAGAACCTAAGGAAGTAATTGAAGAATTTACATTAAAACGCAAACCACCAAAAAAAGCACCGAAACCAATTGAAGAAATTTATGAAGATGTTACTTTACGTAAATTACGACCGAAGAAAAAACCTAGACCGGATATCAAGGAAGTTACCGAAGTTGAAAATGTGACGTTTAGACCACGTTCTACAAAAACAAAAGAAGATGTGGAACAAGAATTTAAAATATCATTAAATACATATGAAGAAGAAGATATTTCCATGTCCGGTAAGGTCCGTTTAAAGCCAAAGAGACGTCCGCTTACATATTCCGAGGAAACTGGAGAAGAAACAATAAAAATTATTCAAGAAATTGAAGATGATTCTGGGCCAGTTATCGAAGAGATCATTGATGAATCAGAAGAGGAAAGTAAAGAAGGATATAGCGTCGAAGAGCTTGACATTGACGAAATGAGTATACCATTGAAACGAAAGAAAAAGAAACAAAAAACACCGTATACTGTAGAAGAAATTGAAGAAAATGATGTCAAAGTACAGTTAAAACGTGATAGGAAATATTCATATGAGGAAACAGATGTTGAATCTTTGGCGCTGAAATTGAAGAGCAAGAGACGTGTTTCCACGTACGAAGAAGGTTCGATGATGCATTTGTGTATTTTGCAAGCATTTATGCATTGGCGAATAAAATTGAATTAACATGCAATATGCTTTCAGCTAAAATAACAATTAAAATTCTTTTCTAGTTATTTTAATCTTTTTGACAATGAATATATATACTATACTCCCGTACTTGGTCTGTCCTCTCCTTTGCCCAACTCTGTGATTCACTTTTTTTTAGAAAAAAAATTTTTTTTTGTCCTTAAGTCTCTGACTAATCCACCGCGTATGAAAAGCATATCGGTAGTAGTCGCTGTATTTTATTTTGTAATATAATATGCGAGATTTATAACTATTTGTATTTAAATAATTAGTATAAAAAGATACATATGTAAAAAATAGCACAGACTGGGTAGATAAATTTTGCTTATGCGCTTTCTTATTATATTTCGATTGTAGTAATCGCATTATATATCGACATTTATTTGATATCTAAAATATAATATTGCAGAAGAAGCTTCTCTCAGTATTACTAAAAAGGAAGAAATCGAAGAAGGTTTGTTACATATATATATATATCTTTTTTTAGTAATATATACAGGGTGTTCCCGGATTAAATGGCCAAACTTGAAATATGAATTTAGGTCCTTAAAACAAGAAAAAATTTTCCGCTGGAAGTATGCTCGCAAACGCTTCGTTCAAGAGATATTGACTTCTGAAGTTATGAACTATAAGAACGAATAATTTCGAAATGTTCCTTTTTATTTTTGTTTTGAAGATCGAAGGTCATTGACAGGCTTGTGTTTGCACTGTAAACAAAGCTCCGTACATTTAATCACTAAAACGGAAGATAGTGCAAGCGTGTGAAGAAATGACAGATGTACAATGTCAATCAACCATTCATTCTGTCATCGATAAGTGCAATGCTTGTCTCCGAGCTGGAGGCCATCATTTTGAACAAAACGTTTAATTATTAAATTTTGATTATTGTACAGCAATAAATAGAATAAACCTAGATTATTTCGAAATTATTCGTTCCTATAGTTCATAACTTCAGAAGTCAAAATCTCTTGAACGAAGCGTTTGCGAGCATACTTCCAGAAGAAAATTTTTTCTTATTTTAAGGTCCTAAATTCATATTTCAAGTTTGGCCATTTAACCCGGGAACACCCTGTATATTCAATAAAATAGAAAAAAAAATTTTTCTTGCTTTTTTAATTGTTTTACTTTAAATAACTAATTAATGATTTTTAGTCGACGAAGTCGAATATGTTGTCCGTGACGGTGATACAATGTTCTCAATTTGTTCTTATGTGGCTGAAACGGAGGAAGCTATAAACTTGGTCGAAGGAGAAAAAATTTATATTATCGGTAATCCTAATTCTATTTTTTTTTTTAATCTTTAATATTGTGGTCATTATAATTGTAATTAATACATATATATTTCTTGAAATTTTGTTTGATATTTGCTTTTTATAGATCATACCAATCAGGATTGGTGGTTTGTAAAGAAACATTTGACTGAAGAAAAGGGTTGGGTACCGGCGCAATATTTATTGGACGAGGAGCATTATACTGTTTACTTGCAACGAAAATTGCACGAAAAGATTGATAGATTGCCAATCTTTGAAAGTAAGTATTTATTTGCAAAACTGATTGAAAAACAGCAATGAAGTTTATCGATCAAACTACTTTTATTATATGCACTTATGAGATTTATGGACTATGCAAGGCTTTTAAAATATTAACATCAAACGTTACATTTTTTAGAGCCAGCTCCAGGAGAAAAAGCCTCAGCACCAAAGTTTATTGAAAAATTGCAACCAATCCACACGCTAGATGGTTACACTGTTCAATTCGAGTGCCAAGTAGAAGGCATACCAAGACCACAAATAACTTGGTTTCGTCAGACAGCTATTATCAAACCATCTATTGATTTTCAAATGTATTATGATGAAGATAATGTTGCTACTTTGATAATTAGAGAAGTATTTCCTGAAGATGCCGGTACTTTTACATGCGTTGCAAAAAACGCTGCAGGATTTGCATCCAGCACTACTGAACTTATCGTCGAGGCTCCTCTGTCAGATCACGGATCTGATATTACCGGTTTGTCGAGGAAAAGTCTTTCGAGGTATGTACTTCTTAAATTTCTTTCAAACAAATTATTCTGATAAAGATTATCGATTATCTTTTTAATATACAATTAATGGGACAGCTTATTTTGATATCATATTACAGATTACAAAACAAACAAAAAAACAACGCTATATTAAATTATATAAAAATTTTGTATAACTTTTTATAATTATAATTTTCATGTAGTTATATAAATTATAACAATATACATATAATATGATAGTCTATGCATATATTTTTGTTCTTAATAATTATTAATGTGACAATGCTCTTTTAGAGAATCATCTCTTGCGGATATATTGGAAGGTATACTACCTACATTCTCTCGAAAACCAAAAGCGAAGTACGTGAATGAAGGTGATGATGTAATATTGGAATGCCG